CCCCCGTTCCCGTTCGTGATTTTCGGTAAAAAGTAAAAAAAAGTATTCTATAAAAAGTATCCTATGTCCGTCTCCTGGTTCTAAGCTACCTCCCTGCCAATTTTCATCTAAATCGATTGAGGCGTTCTTGAGTTATAAATAGTGTAACTAACACGACTTTCTTTTATATATATATATATATATATATATATATATAAAAGAAAGTCGTGTTAGTTACACTATTTATAACTCAAGAACGCCTCAATCGATTTAGATGAAAATTGGCAGGGAGGTAGCTTAGAACCAGGAGACGGACATAGGATACTTTTTATAAAATACGTTTCTTTACTTATCACCGAAAATCACGAACGGGAACGGGGGGAAAATGGGATTGCGCGTGCGAAGTCGCGGGCAGAAGTTAGTAATGAATAAATTATAAATAATAAATAAATAATGAATATAAAACTGAAAAATTAACTAAATAAACTAAAAAAAACAAGTATTACTACGGCTCGTCATCATCATCATCGTCCTCGACATCATACTCCAATGTTTTTACAAACAGTGGTGACCATAACGCCCTCGTCGTTGGAGGTAATATGTCCCCTTCAATGCTGCAGAGCATTATTATGAACACTCTAAGTGGTGGTCAGGGCGGTCTGGATCAACCAGCGCCTTGTTGTTGATTTTATGGAATCGCACCATAGGAGTTCATAGCTCAGGTAGACATAATACACCTACGTGATAAGAAATACAGTCGCCAGTCACTACCATCAATAATTTATTCTTCGTCTTACTTGTACGTCCACGACGCGTCATTTGACATGCAAGGAACCTACAAATGTTAATAACAACTGCGTAGAGATAATGAAAACTGTCACGAAGCGGGCAATTGTATGTCGCACGCATTCTTCAAATAACGTGTCGTGGACAGTAGTACAAGTTCATTGTATCATTTGTTATTTTTACACTTTTGTACATACCTACGTTGACAGCTGTCATACGGATCACTAGCTAATTGTTTGTCTAAATAAATAAAATAGTTTTTGTTTGTTTGGTGAAGTGCAAGGGGAATAAAAACGATATATAATATATAAACTATATGGAGTTATGTTATCCAGTAAGTGACAAGTGTTTTAAGGCAATCTAAAACAAAGTGGAAAAAGTGGTTTTATATGAGGCTAAAGTTGACGTTGCAGAAGCAATCTGTGATAAAAAACTACAGAGAACAATCATCGGTGCTTCAGAGAATAGAGTGATAAAATAAAAACAATCTTTTTAGCTCGAAAATCTAAAATAAACAAAAGTCTTTGTTCATTAACGTCGATAAAACAGATCAAAGAAAATATTACCGACATCTAGTGGCCAATAGCGAAATCATAGTGACATAAAAACCATTCACTCTTTTTGCGACTTGAAAACTAGGCTTTTGGCATACTGACAATTTAAGTGTTGCCATAGATGTTGCGCATATCTCCCTATATGTTTGTATAGCTACTTTAAAAAATTATCAGTATTAAATAGGAAATAGAAAGCCTATTATTTAACAAAGTATTTAAGCAATTGATAAATACAAATAACTATGGAAGAGATTATGAAAACGTTACAAAACATCCAACATGACTTAGCACAACATAAACGAGACATGAAAGATATGGAGGAGAACATAAAAGACGCAATAAATAATCATATTGATCAAAAGTTTAATCAAATGGAAACGAGAACTAAACAACTAGAACAAAAATTAGAAAAACAACAAGAAGACATAGACTACTTGGACAAACAGTTAAGGATGAAGAGAGTGATTTTCTTTGGCGTCCCTGAACTGGAAAAAAATTACGAGGGCCTGTTAAGTACAATCTTGGAAATCATAAACACAAAAATGAATGTAACATGCCAGAGATGGGAAATTGAAACGGTTTACCGACTTGGAAAGAAAGATGGGAAAAGAATAAGACCAGTTATAGTCTCAACAACCACAACCAGCAGAAAAATACTGCTCCTGAAACATAAAAGAACTCTGGACAATACTGGATTATACATCAAGGATGACTACTCCCCTGCAGTGTTACAAAAACGACAAGAGCTTCAAGATGAACTAAAAAGAAGACGTCTAGAGGGAGAAAAAGTAGCGCTACGATACGACAAAATCGTAAAAATTAATTATAATGAAAAAAGCACCAGTGTAGTACCACCAAAAGTAACAGAAAGTGCTCCACATAGTGCCAACAAAAGATTTCTATCAGAATCACCTGAAACAGAAAGCAAAGGCCAAACTTCAGACGCACGAGAACAATCAAAACAGCTACCCAAAAAGAATAAATCTTAAAACCAGTTTCATGCACCCTGTTCAACCGAATTTCTCATCCAGGAACCTAAACAAGCAGAGCCCTCAAGATCCTCTAAAAAACTAAGCTGCACCCTTTGCTCCTCATCACTCCCAAAACGGCCGGTCCCCGTGGGAGATGTAGACCACAACCCTCTAGTGCACTCTACAGACACTAATCAAAAAATCTTTGTATCAACCTATAATGTTAGAACATTATCATCACATTCTCACCTTCTACAATTAAGCGAAGCACTGAAAGAAATCAAATTTGACGTCATAGGTCTCTCAGAAGTTAGACGTGTTAGAAACACCATAGAAGAGTATTCAGATTTTGTTTTATGCTATGTAGGACAAACACCAGGCCTGTATGGGGTAGGATTTATTATAAATAAACATTTTAAAAAACATATTGTGAGCTTCCAAGGCCTATCAGAGCGAGTAGCCACACTTGAACTGGATGTCAATAACACAGAAATAAGCTTGATACAATGCTACGCCCCTACAGAATCAGCAAACGACTTTGAGATTGAACTTTTTTATAAAACTGTCCACAAAGCGATGGAAATGTCTAAAGGAAGACTAACAATAATAATGGGTGATTTTAATGCCAAAGTAGGACAACCAACACATAAACAAAACCTAATAATGGGAAATTACGGCTATGGAACCAGAAATCAAAGAGGTACCAGACTTATAGAATTTGCTTATGAACATAAACTCGCAATACTAAACACGTTCTTCAAAAAGAAATCAAGCAAAAGATGGACCTGGAAGTCACCCAACGGCCTAGTCAAAAACGAACTAGACTACATTTTGACCAATTTCCCTAACAACACTTTGGACTTGCAAGTGATAAATGTCAACTACTCAAGCGACCATGAGACTGGTGAGAGCACTACTGCAGATTCGTTTTGAAAAAAGAGCCGAAAATCTTACACTAGCAACACAAAATTTATTTTAAAAACCGAAAAAGAAATCCAGCTATACAAAGAATCATTTCAAAATAACATAGAACAACAAAATACTAGACATGAAAGCTGCACAGTGCAGCAGCGCCACGACAAAATTGTAAACACCATAAGTTATGCACTTAAAACAGTCCATAGACTTTCTCAGCGCCAAAGTAACGTTTCTGTCTTGTCAGCCAGAACAAAAGAATTAATGAAAAGACGTCAAATCCTACAAAAAACTAAACCAAAAACACGTAGCATGAAAAACGAACTAAAGGCTCTCTACAAACTCACTGGCAAATACATACGCTCCGACTACAATATCCATCGATTAAAAACAATCGAAAAACATGTAATACAGTCTGGTAGCCTGAAGAAGGCAAATAAAGAACTAAGGACGCATAGAACCTGGATTAGAGAAATGAAAACCACAAACCAAACAGCCACCAATAGAAATGAAGTACTCGAAATAGCAACAAACTTTTATTCTAATTTATACAAATCAGACAATCAAGAGTTCAATCAAGTCACAACCATTACACCCATAACACCTTCTGAAATAAAAACAATAGAAGAAGTTGACGTAATATTGGGTATTAACAAACTGAAGAAAGACAAGAGTCCAGGACCCGATGGAATAACTAATGAAGCCCTAAAAATAGCATGCCCATACTTGGTGAAACCGTTAACGCAGCTCTTCAACCTAGTATTGTCAGAAGGAACAACACCACGACAGTGGGCTGAGTCAGACATAATATTAGTGTACAAGAAAGGAGACCCAAATAATATTGGCAACTACCGTCCAATAAGCTTACTATCATCCATATATAAACTATTCTCATCAATCTTGGAACAAAGAGTTAGGGTTAATATCGAAAAACACCAACCCATAGAACAAGCGGGTTTCAGAAAGGGCTTCTCTACTGTGGATCACATCCATTCTATCGAAATGCTCATTGAGAAATACCAAGAGTTCCGTAGACCGCTCTACCTTGCATTTATAGACTACCAAAAAGCTTTCGATACTATTCATCATACATCAATTTGGGAATCACTACACGTACAAAGTGTAGAACCAACCTACGTGAGAGTTCTGCAACACCTGTATAGTAATTGTTACAGTAGAATAAGACTAGAATCAACAGGTCCGCGGATACCTATCAGGAGAGGAGTCAGACAGGGCGACCCTATTTCCCCTACAATTTTTATTGCAGTACTGCAATGGGTGATAAGCAGGTTAAACTGGACAAACCTGGGCTTACGTATAAACAGCCAGTACATCAGCCATTTACGATTTGCAGACGACATAGTCCTGCTGTCAGAAGATGCAATACAGTTACAACTTATGATAAACTCTCTGCACTCAGCAAGCAGACTAGCCGGCCTTGAAATAAACCGAAACAAAACGAGCATAATGACGAACAACATAAAGAGCCCAATCTATCTAGAAGGTGAACAACTGGAATATGCTGACACATACATCTACCTGGGCAAACAGATATCTTTCCACGCACAAAGAAACGAACAAGAAATAGAAAGAAGAATTTTAAACGCGTGGAAAAAGTTCTGGAGTCTTAAGGAGGTCATGAAAAGCAACTTCCATATAACAATAAAACAAAAAGTTATGGACAGCTGCATACTCCCTTCTCTAACATACGCGTGCCAAACCTGGTTGTTCACACACAAAATAAAAACGAAAGTCAGATCATGCCAAAGAAGCATGGAGAGAAGCATCCTAAACATCAGAAGGATTCAAAAGATATCTCACAAAACCATAAGGGAAAAAACCAAGATCACCGACGCGTTAGGACACTCGATGAAACTAAAATGGCGTTGGGCTGGCCATATAGCTAGGTATGCAGATAACCGGTGACTTCCCTCCTAACATCTTGGCCAGGCCCAGGGGGCACGAGAAAAAGAGGTAGACCATACGCGCGGTGGACAGACGACATAATCCAAGTGGCTGGCAAACATTGGATAGATATCGCCAAGAACAGAGACAAATGGAAAGCACTAGAGGAGGCCTTCACCTTCGTATAACGCGAGGGGTTCTTACTACAAGCAACGTTAACTGAGTAGGACGTAAAGCAAAGGAAATCTTATTACGTAAAACCAATCTTTTTATTTTTCAATTCTTTGTAAACTAGTAAGAAATATAAGGCATTTTTTTTTTATTTTTTTTTTTTATTTTTATTTATTTTATACATACCTACTATAACTTTTACCATTATTTCGTTCTAATCAGTATCTTAAGACTTATATTTATTTGTAAAAATATAATAAATGTTTGAAAAATGTACCTGTCTTTTCTTGCATTACCTAGCTAGATGTTGTTTACTAAATATTAAATTGTAATTTATTCGAGTGTGAGTATCGAAAAAGTTCAAATTCCGGGTCAGACAAAATATTTTTTGAAGATTTTTTGGTTTTGCTAATGTTTTTACACATTAGGAAAAATGAAGACCTACTTTGTAACAGTTGTCTTACGAGTCCAATATAATAAGGCCTTTTGATTAATTAAATTTTCAATTTTCCTTTGACAATTAATGACTGATGCTGATGACTGTTAAGGAAGCAAAAGATATATGTAAGAATCATAGTAATTGGCGTTCCATAGACTCTGCCTACCCCCATGGAGACAGGCGTGAGGTTATGTATGTAAGTTACAAAATATACACAAATTGTAACATTGCCATTAGATTCAAATAAACATTCTACGAGTCTACGAAATCGTAGCACACTACTACGCCGTAGCGTCATCTGCTACGAAATAATTAAACATGCATGTACTACATAATATTAATGTTCTTTTTGTAAGACAGCATCTTTTTAAAAACGTTGCCCTACACTAGGATTTTCTCCTGCGTCATGGGTGCGTTTTCAAACATACATGTTCACGTACACAGGACACTCAAACCCGGAACAACAATTTGTAGATCACACAAAGAGGTGTTCCGTACGGGAATTGAATCTGCGACAGCCGGTTGCCCAGCCACTGCACCAAACCTGCAGCCATAACTAGAGGTATAAACGAATAAAAACCCCCTTCGTAACCAGGTACGGAACATCCAAATACAGAACCAAAAATTAATAAATCTCAATTATTACGTGCGGGAATCAAACATGTGGCACGTTGCGCAGCAGCCAATTATTCAACTACTGCTAAAAACTACAACCGTGCATTAACATTATGTTAACATTCAAAGGATAAAATCTACGTCACTTTCTCGTCCGCATCACTACACGTTCTTGTTTTTTTTATTTTATTTTTATATGTACACAGGCACATATATCTCATTTGTTTATATTGAATGTTATTTATATAAATGATGACGTATGAGATATGTACCCACCAACCAAAAACGACCAGACGTATGTTGTCAGAAAGCTGTTTTCATGACAGCTTTTTCATCATCATCATCATCATAACATCACGCCTTTTATCCCTGAAGGGGTAGGCAGAGGTGCACATTATGCCACTGACAATGTAACACCCACTTTTCACTATTTATGTCATGAGTCCCATGTAATAGGGGGTGAGCCTATTGCCATATACCGGGCACAATTCCAGACTTCGTGCTACTACTAAGATTTTTTTTGAAAACCAAGTAATGAGTACTTTGTCCGTCAGTTAGGTAATGAAAAAGTATTAGACACGTTTTTTTTTATTTTGTCGAATAAGGAAACTATACTTAGATGAAACGAATCAAAACTTAGGAGTGGGAGGTAGCTACGTCATTTTAGAGTATGAATAGTACTCAAAAGTGACGTCATGCGATATTTCAAATCAATATATCTTCGAAACTATTCGTTTCCGTAAGAAAACAAAAAAATACGTGTCTATTGTTTTTAAATAATCTACCAGATGGACATGAAAATAAAAAGTAGTCATCTACCCTATAATAAGATTATTTAATCAGTAGTCGACCTATTGGCCTAACTAAATGATAGGCCGACCAGTCACTCGTTTGGAATTTCCAAGATAATATTTTTTATATTTCATTTGTTTCTTTATCAACAATAACAGTCTGCGAGGTCTCAATTGTCCAA